GTCGCCGGCGGTACGAGCGCGTCGAGCGTGTCGCGTGTCTGACGGTCGCCGACGGTACGAGCGCGTCGCGCGTCCTCGCGTGTCTGACGGTCGCCGGCGGTACGAGCGCGTCGCGCGTCCTCGCGTGTCTGACGGTCGCCGGCGGTACGAGCGCGTCGTGCGTCCTCGCGTGTCTGACGGTACGAGCGCGTCGTGCGTCCTCGCGTGTCTGACGGTCGCCGGCGGTACGAGCGCGTCGTGCGTCCTCGCGTGTCTGACGGTACGAGCGCGTCGTGCGTCCTCGCGTGTCTGACGGTCGCCGGCGGTACGAGCGCGTCGCGTGTCTGACGGTCGCCGGCGGTACGAGCGCGTCGTGCGTCCTCGCGTGTCTGACGGTCGCCGGCGGCGACGAGTGATCGTCGTCATCGTTCACTGTTAGACTTTCAGTTCCTTGTTTGTTCCTATCGGATTCAGTTACTGTATACGCTGTTTATTTCGTGGTGGTTTAATTTTCGCGAATTTCGCGAATGCGTTCCCGACCGCGAAAATAACAACACGCGAATAATTCATACCGAATAATACCGAATATTTCATAATTCACCGACCGCAAAATTAACCACTCGCGAAATTTTCCGTCAGGTTTGAATTCGCGAAAATATCTGTACGCGCAAAATATGGAGTATAGAGTATTCTATGTTGAATGCGATGATGTGAAAAGATTCCGATCACTACGTTTCCAAATAGGGTATTTAATAAATTGTGAGTAATAATCAAGTAAAATTATTTAAATGAGGGGGCATATAAAACGAGTTTCAACTAGCAGTAATTTTGAAAGCCAGGCTCCGGTGTTCTCCTGTAGTAATCGTATGTGAAACGTTTTCCCGCTTGTGCGACTTAAGTTATGTGATGCAATTTATACAGGTGCAACTAAGTACATGAAGAAGCTTGCAGCCAAGCAAGAGATGACGCCTGGCAGTCCTAGCCAACAGGAGGAGCTCCTTAAGAAGAGAAGAAAGAAAAAGAGAAGAGGTATGACAATTTGGATCGTTACGACAGCACGAGAAGAGCGCATCGCGTAATCCAAATATCCTAATCTATCGTTCAACATTTGTGCATGTATAATGTATATGTGTAAACACAGTTAATATCGCGCTTAGTATAAACGTATAATAATTATAATAATAGTATGTACTTTGCTACCTCAGATGGCGGATGAGCAAACGTAGTTGTCAGCACAGTTCCCTGATCCCGATCCCCAGCATGCAGTAGAACTTAAAACAAACTTCTTCGGGCTCATCGCACGGTTTTCGCTCTTCCTTTACAGGGAAACTTCCAAAGAACTATGACACCACTTCCGACCCAGACCCCGAACGCTGGCTGCCAAAGCGAGAGCGCTCCAACTACAAGGGACGGAGGAAAGACAAGCGAAAGGATATCGGGAAGGGCCCGCAGGGGGCGGTGGGCGGCAGTCAGGAGCTGGACGCAAGCAAAGCCTCTCCGTCCACCTCAGCAGCGGCGAGTCCTCATCCGACCCCGTCGCCTGCGACCGCACCACAGGTATGGCCGCAGCTACCCGCGCGTAAAATACAAAAAATTTGTTATTATTTGTTTATTAAAATTAATTAATGATGTGGAAAACATTAAGAGCTCGCCTCATTAGCTTTATTTTACTCGGCTAGGAGTAGGTGAATATGGCGAAGGAAAAAATTCACATTGGGTAATATAAGTTAACTTGTGGGAGAATGTTGACTATGTGAAAGAGCCAATATGGCCATTGGCTAGGATTTATTATTATGTGTGGCCTATTTGGGAAGATTTTAGTAATCTGGTTTCCTCTATTTTTTATTAGGGACCACGGCAGAATCGACCCCAATCACAGCAACTTAAGAAAAAGAAAAAGGGGAAAGGAAATAAGTGGTAAAATTGTGTACTTGTTTGTTTTAGCTTGCATGAGTAAAATACTGCTGAAAAATATCCTAGTGAACATATGGGCTCATGCAATCTGGTAGCATTGTATTAGGACGTGTTTAAGCACAATATTTCTCACTTTTTCTCTCGGCATCTGTTGTTATTGCTTAAACATCCTTTCCCGTCTCTCTAGCTCTATCTGAACATTAAACTTTACCTGAAATTTTTTTGGAAGATAAAATTTGGCAAATTCTAGCGTGGGGAAATTACCTTGTCCATGTTCATTAACCTCGTAACCTCGTAAGAAATATTCTTCAATGTTGAAGGGACTATATCGAAGATGGAAATAGACGACGTTAATCGAATCAATAGACAAAGTTGATAAATTCGCTAGACAAAGCTAATCAAATTGAGTAAGTAGTAATTTGGCAATAATCACATGAAATATATTTGCTTCTGGCTCCGACTGGTGAACGTTGATGGTGAATTTTTATTCATTAAACAGTAACGATTCTTATATTTACTGGTTTATGTTTCATTTCTGTGTACCTTGTAAATCTGGGCATACTGTTTGTGCAATGTAACGGCATTGTGAACAAATATAATAATGACGATACACGTGGTTACTGCAAATAATTTGTGTACACGAAATCAGTGAACATCATCTCGATCAAAAATACAAATCTTGTTTCTATTGTTAGCTAGGAAACAGCAAGTAGGAATCAGAGAACCTTTTTTACGCCAGTGTCTCACTAAACCAAACTAAACGCTAGAATCCACTATAGGTGGCAGCACCCTGCAATATTAGCACAACTTGCAAAATAAATAGTACACACGTTGTTCAGATCGCCTTTCTTTCAAATAGCTCAAAATGTATTATTTATTACACGTCCTTGTTGGGCAGAATAGTTATGAGAATTATATCGGTGGAAATCATATACAAAATTATCATATGTACAAGAATCATAGGCATAGATGATAGTAAGTAGGTTAGAGCTCAGGCCTAGAGTAGCTCCACCAGGTTCGCTGGTGTTTGACTTTCCAATAATGGGCAATATGTCGGATGTATTATAAAAGATTATATTTGTTTTGATATGAAAATTATTGCTATCATAAAATATTGACAAGCTGCATCATGTTATCGAACAGGCAGCCTTGCTCACAAGAAGCAAAAGGTGAAGAATTGGTTGTAGTTACAGCCACAGTGCACTGCTAAGTAAATTATAAGGACGTGGATATTCGTCCGAGCATCGGACACCTGTTCGTATGCGCTATTCGTCCGAGCAGTTGCTGCGCATGCGCTGTTCATGTTGTATTACATAAATGTAATATAATGCTAGTCTAGGGAATCGCCTACTCTCCAACCCTAACACTAATTAATACTAACCACAATCCAAACCTACCACTAATTATTTAACTCTAACCTAACTCTAATACTAACCACAATCTAAACCTACAACTAATTATTTAACTCTAACCTAATTATTCATTTATAATTACTTAGCAGTGCACTGTGGCTGTAACTACAACATTCTTCACCTTTTGCTTCTTGTGAGCAAGGCTGCCTGCCTTCAGATAACATGATGCAGCTTGTCAATATTTTAATGATAGGCGAATCAATTTTCCTATCAAACAAATATAATATCTTTATATGTACATCCGAACATATGCCCATTATTGGAAGGCAAACACCAGCGAACCCTGTGGAGCTCTTAGGCCTTGAGCTCTGAACTACTTACTATCATCTATGCCTATGTATCTCTGTACATATGATATTTTGTATATGATTTCCACGATATAATATCTCATAAACTATTCTGCCCAACAAGACGTGTAAGTAAATATTACATTTGAGCTATTGAAAGAAAGGCGATCTGAACAACGTTGTGCTACTATTTATTTTGCAAGTTGTGCTATATTGCAGGTTGCGGCCACCTATGATGGGATTCTAGCGTTTAGTTTTGGTTTAGTGGCACGGGCGTAAAAAAGGTTCTCTGATCCCTTACTTGTGTTTTCCGTAGCTATACATAGAAACAAGATTTGTATTGGTTCGATCGACGATGATGTTCACTGATTTCGGTGCTACACAAATTAATTTGCATAAAGCCACGTGTATCGTCATTATTATATTTGCTTCACAATGCGGTTACATGGCCCACAAACAGTATGCCCGAGATTTCAAGAGTACCTAAAATGAACATGAAACCAGTAAAATTAAGAATCGTTTACTGTTTGAATGAATAAAAAGGTCCTCAACGTTTCCCAGTCGGACCAGAAGCAATATATTCATTGTGATGTATTGCCAAAGAC